TAAAAATATAAGAAATACTTCTATGGTTAATTTAAGGATTAAGATCAAGGAGCCCTGGTTTAGAAAATATTAACTAGAAATCTAGAAATTAAAATAAGAATTAGATGAAAGAAGTTAAATGCCAATTGACTCAATGGTAGCTGAATTAGAAAAAGAACGATAAAAGGCTCTAGAAGATAAGCAAGAAGTGATGAGTGCATATGAATAAAGAAACAGAGATCTGGTTTAGGAAAGAGAAATGAGAAAGCAATTGGAAGAAAAGATATCAGCCTTGAATTCATAAATGCTTGTTGGAGGGTAGAAGATTGAAGAAACCCCTTAATTTTAGAATGCCCTAGAAAAACAGCAAAAGTTAATTAGGTAATAATATCAGGAGAGATTACAAGAATTGGAAAAAGAGCGGTAGAACATTGAAGAGGATAAGGCTCAAACAGACAAATATAAATAATTGTTACTCAAATAGAGAGATATAATGATCGCCTTAACTAACAGATTGAATGAAAGAGATGAAACAATACTACAATTATAAGAGGAACTTGATGCCTATGATAAACTACAAAAGGAACTAGAAGATATCAATTAGACTAAAGAGTCTAGAATACAATAATTGGTGGAACTTCTTAAATAAAAGGAAGTGGAAATCCCAATGAATTTAGATTTACCAGCCAATTCTAATAATAATAATGCAAAATAACAGTTATTATTAGCTGAAATGCCTTCCTCCAAAATGATTTTAGTTGCTGATCCCTCTTCAAATAGTTATATTTAAACACTCCCTTAATAAGGTTCTTATCATCATTCTTCTGAAGCAGTCACTCAATATGAACTAAAAAATCAAATTGATATAAACAAAAAATTGGAACTTGATTTAAAGATTAGCAGAATGGAGTAAGAAAGATAGAAAAAAGACCTTGTTTCATTACAGGAATAGATTCAAAAATATGAAAATGATACAACCACAGAATAAGCTAAAAGTATGTTTATTTCTCCTATTTAGAATCTGTTGATTTGATATTGAACTAACTCACAAAGCCTGCTAATGGAAACTCACTTGCCACTGTTGCCCAAGAACTATAAAAGCTCCAAAAGATACTTTCGGAAAAAGAAGCAAGTCCAAAAAAAACACTTCTTAAAATTCAATAAGAAACTTCCAATCTCAAGTAATAGGAGATTATTAATAAATTAATGATTAAACCAAGCAAATCTAATAATTAGCTTAATCCTCCACCATATAAAAAATAAAAATAAAAATCTGTAGAGGATTTATGGAATTGATTTTATAAATAATTTTTTTATCGTTAATGGGATAAGAATAAAGTACTAATGAAAAAACTCAAGAGTTCAAATAATTTCTTTTGTAATACTCACAAGAGAGGGAGGCTACACATCCTTAATTTGGAAAAATTAAATTGTTTACCCATATTTAAGTAAAATCAAATTACAAAATAGACCAATGAATAAATATGTCTCAAGAAATATTTCACTAAGAGCGATAAAGAATTGTCTAATTTAGTTGCTCATCTCAAATAAAGAAACTCATTTGAATAAAACAATTTACTAAAAATACTTGCAGTTCACAAGTAGGATCAAATTAAAGTATGCTCAGATCAGAGTTAGATAGCCATTATTATCTAATATTATCAAGAAAACCTAACAAATGAGATTAGTGTAAGAAAACTTAACAATAAACCTTATAAAGAAGGACATATTTGGATTCTATTACAGTAAATTATTGACCCATGTACATATTTATGGGAAAGAGATTTATTTCATGGAGATATAAAACCATCTACTCTTTACTTAGATGAGAATGGCTCCATTAAATTATCTGAATGTAGTATGCTGAATGATGGACTTAATGGATATTAAAAAATGATACAAAGTTAGGATAAATCATATCTTTCTCCCATTCTGTTGAAATAATATAAAGATCTAATCATGTCGCCTACTCATGATCCATATAAGAGTGATATATATTCATTAGGACTTACTGTTTTAAGTGTAATCTTATTAGAAGAAGTCTATGATTGTTTTGATTATGTTGAGGGCATTGTTTTGACTGATTTATTGGAATAAAAGTTTATTCGAATCAAGTAGATGGGATTTTCTTAAATATTGATTGAGTTTATAAAATAGTTATTATTTCTTGATGAATAAGAGAGGCCTTCTTGGCAAATGCTAAAGGATTTTATTGATAAATATAGAGATAAAATTAACAACATGATACCATTCTATTAGTGCCATTTGAATAATTAAAAATCACCTATAAGGTAGTTGAATCAATTTAATAAAGCTCCACTTAGATAAAACATATTATACCTTGTAATTATAATTTCTATTGTAGCCATTGAATAAGTCACCCCAATAATAATTTTAGAAATCCTAACAATTTAATACAAGCAGATCAGATGCAAAACCAAAATATATACAAATAAGTAAGGAAAATTACTGAGATATATAAAATAAATAATAAGTATACTATTTCATTCAAAATGTGTCTTTTTAATTCCGTATTTCACTATTTCTCTATCACATCTAGTTCCCCCAACAAGGCATGATATCACTGTTATTGGATCTATGCTGAATCTTTTAGCATAGTTTTTATAATCAAACTCTTTCACTATTCGAGTAATTTGTTCATCCTCTAGATGTTGGAGCTTTAAATATATTCACATAATACTTTTGATTTAATCTTATTTAATTATGTATTGCATTTATCATAAGAATGAATAGCTTATTCTTTTATAACAGTAGATTAATCATTATTTTGAGACTCTGTATGTGCCTTTTACTTGATCTACTATTTGATTCTTTTTTGAGTTTCTTTGTAAATTAATGTGCCATTATTAATAGGCGAATTTTTAAGGTTCAACTTGGCCAGCATATTTTCCAAATTTTAAATATCTTCATTAGACAATCCCTCCTAAATAGGTCCTAATTTTTCTAATTAGTAATTGTTCCTAGAAGTTAAGGCAGCCTCTTGTCGAGCCAGGTGTAAGTCAATTGAAGATAATTTATGGCTATCAAAAGGAAAGATTGAAGGTAAAAACGAGGCATCCAAAGAATCATTTTAAGATAAACTCTATTACAAAATGGCCAAACTACTATCAAGGGATTATTCTTATTTATATTGCTTAAACGATTCGCTCAGTTCTTTTTCTAGCTTTTCGATATCCGACAACATTGTTGCTTTCTTATATGTAATTAATAAGTACTTAAAGCAAGTATTCCTTAGCCTTTTAATCCAGATAATCGGGCATAGATTAATGATGACATTTTTCACTTAAAGAACTCAATTTGGAAATAATCCAAGCTATACCTGTAGTTCTAACATCCTATCCATTTTTTAACACTTAAAAATAAAAACTCACTAAACATCTTTACAAATTTTTATTTTCTTTTTTTTAATTATGAATATCTTTATCAATTTAATCTAAAGTCTTTTTATTAAATAATATCTTTTATTTATATGCCTTTTTACTATCCCTAAGAATTTAGATGTCTTATTCTAGTTCTTTTTATTTATTTTATTGACTCATAAATTAATTTACGAGAGACATTCTGGATTTACTCAATTAGAGACTGTCTTAAGATTTGGGATTTGATAAATCGTTAATTTCTTATACTAATTGATCTGTTAATTATTTAATTTATAGAATTTTTTCATGTAACTCGTGTGTCTCTAACCTTAACTTTTCTTAGGTTGCTACCCTTGTATCTATTGAGATAAGATTTTGTTTAATCTTTAAGTTTAGCTTATTCACTATGAGTTGTGTTTATTTTTTATAAAACTTTGCCTTTTCAGCTTCTGATTTGAATTAAGACATCTAGACTTTAACCAAAGTATTATACATTCTTAATACACCTTCACTAGTAAAATCAAAATTAGCAGTCAATCCTTTTTCTTCGTCGACATTAAGTTCCCCAATTTCCTTCAATTCGCTTAAAGCGACAGCTGAAGCTTTTTGTATATATTGCTCTACAGAACGCTCTACACTTAGATCTTCATTTAAACTCTTTAGTTATTTAACCTTTTAAACAGCATTCTTCATAACATCCTTGAAGGACCTAGGTGTGTTGGAAGGAGGGACTGAATTTAATATTGAGTTTTGTCTATCAAGAGGTAATTACTTCATTGATTGTTAGAATGAAATCGGCTTCTTAATCTCAGTTGATGCTCTTTATTTGTTTCTTAATGGAACTATATTAGTACTCATATCTTCTTTTTTGCTTTCCTCTTTTTTCCTTTGATCTTTTAACCTTTTAGTCCATTGTGTAAGATCAGCTGTTTAATCTTGTGCTTCGTCATACACTTCTTATTAAGTAGCCAAAGATTCTTCTCTATTTTTTTGTTTCTTTTTTAGGACCTCTCCATCTGAATTATCCTCCAATTATTCATATATCTCTGAGAGTAAGAGTTGTTTTTCAGGATCTTTTGCTAATCTATTTCTGATTTGTTTCTCAAGGTCATTTCTTTCCTTTTTCTTATACAATTTTGTAATTTTCAATGTTTACAAGTCGTACATACTATGCATCGACTTAAATTATTGACCAGGCTTTTCTTCACCCCTCGCTATGTCATAACTCTTGATTGAATTGAATTAGTCATTCAACAATTTCTTAGTCACATCTTGTATAGCTAGTTCACCAATATTATCTGTGGCTGATTTATTTTTTCTAATCAATTCATGAGCATTTCCAGCTATTTTTATAGCAGTATAACCTTTGTGTTGTCCAACTTCCCCTTGAACTTACATAATCTTCTTTGTTCTCTATGCCCGAATGGATAGCATTGAAATTTAATTAAAAACTATAAAACTCTAAAAATATCATAAACAAATAGATATTATCTAATTTACAGAGTCATATTGTAAATTGAGAAATAATAATAAATGCGTTTTTATGGAAATGTATCACCATATACATATTAA